CAAAGGACACTGAGTGACTGTTCTGTCGGGGTCACCGAGGGCAGCGGGGAGAGCAGGAAGCCCTCTCACATAAGCACAGCTCTGTGGTCTGTTTTCCCATCTCTTTGGCGGGCAGTCCCGTTCTTGCCCCAGGTTTTGCAGTGCCAATGAGCATGGGGGACAGCCATCAGGGAGGTAGTCGGAGAACTTGGCCTGTTGGTAGAGACCATAAATTCTGACGTCGGGTCCCGATCCCCAGGCTGCCAACAAAGCTAAACTTGAGCCCCTTTGCAGGGAGCTGCATTTTAAAATCGGCATCTGAGGACGGAGAGTCTAATTTTTCCTCTGAGAGCCTTTCTCCACCCACAAAGTGCCACAAAGCGACCTTTTTTGTGCGTGGAAACAATCTCAATCCCCATTGCATCATTTGGGGGGGGGGGCAGGATTTCCTGAAAGACATCATTAACCATGTCTGTCTACAATGACTGGTTGCCTCTCTTGGTGGTTCACACTGCTTGGGGTTTTCTCTACAGGCCCATGCCTTAAGTAAGGGAAATTGGAGATTCAAAAATATCATTGTCATAGTCACCATCCCTGCGTGCAGTCAGAACCATGAAAATGCCCATTTGGGTTGATAAGTTTGTTTCAATGATTGGCACAGCTGGGGTGCAGCCCAGCCCCATTTCTCACCTCTCCTCCTCTCCTGTCTCAGGCTCTGGAATCTCCATTGGCCAGGATCTCTCAAGCCTCCCCGTCTTTTAAGGTTCATCTCCTCAACCTAAATGCCCCACACTTTGACAGTCACGCTCTTCTTTCTTCTTCATCTCTTGCTTTGTCTGCAAACGTCCCCTTGCTACTCAAACCCAATTAGGTTTTTCCCTGTGCTGCCCCTGGTGCGGCCCTGTCACAGCGGTGACCCTGGGTTGCTGTCACTGTCTGTCTAAGTGGTCTTTTCACAAGCCCGGACCCCAGGAGGGCGAGGAGTGTGTCTTATTCATGTATGGTATCCACAGTAGGCACTCCACAAATAAGTGACGGACGGATCTGGAGAGAGAAGAGGGAGCCCCTGTCGTGAAGGAAAAGGTGCGCTGGAGCAGACTCGTTTCAGCACGTCACAGGCTGTGTGGGGCATGCGTCCTCGCTGGGCGCAGATCTCAGCTCCAGCGCTCATTTGTTTTGTGACCTGAGCGAACCTCAGGAAATTCAGGCACTTGGTTTTTGTCTTCCTCTTTGGGAGCAAGCTGAGAAGCCAGTTGTAAGGATTAGAGTAATTGTCAACATACACATGTGGCTATGCATAGGATTGGAAATGCAATGTAAAAAAGGGTCATGTTCTAAGAATTAATGCACCTTTTATCTAGAACTGCTCCTAATTTTCCCTCATCTTTCATTCATAAATACATACAAAAGCTTTTTAGTCAGTTCAGTTAAATTAAAAATGACATGAATTATCTATCTCTCTGTGTCCAGGTACAATGAGAGAAGTATAAGTGGAAAAAAAATTAATTCAGTCCATACCTCTGAGGACTCACCATGTGAGTGGGTGTGGGTAAGCAGACACCCATATACATCACTAAAATACAATTAGGTAACTGGAAAGACAGGGGTAAGCCGAGGCTGCTATGAGAGCACAGTGCAATTGCACTTAGGCTCTCCCAAGAGCCTTGTGGGAGAGACTGATCAAAATATGAACAAAGTTAGCCCAGCAAATACATACAGAAAGGGCATTCAGGGGCTGGGGCTATAACTCAGTGGAAGAGCACTTGCCTAGCATGTGTAAGGTACTGGGTTTGATCCTCAACACCACATAAAAATAAATAAATGAAATAAAGGTATGGAAAGGGCATTCCAGGTAGAGTGAACTGCATGAGCAAAGGTAAAGAGGCAAGTCTGGTTTTCCAGATGGGCTGAGTTGGAGGCAGGAAGTGGTAGGAAATGAAGCTGGAGATGCAGGGAGGACAAGATCAGAGAGAGCCTTAGGTGTTCAGCTGAGGATTGTAAATCTTATCAGGTTTACAGGGGAACCTTTGAGGAGTTTTAAATCAGGGTAGCATAATTGGAACACAATTTAGATGCACCATTGATGTGAGATGAATTGTTAGTTCTCTGAGAAAGCCATTTAAAAGAGAGTTTCCTCTAGACCATTACTCTAAAAATCTCTTCATTCATGCATTCACTATTACTTTAGTAAATATTTACTGAGCACTTGGAGTCCACCATCATGCTTGAACCTGTGGGCTCTATCAAGATGAATATGCTTTTCTGCCTGCCCTAAGAAGCTCATGGGAGATGGGAGGATGAGACATCCCTTTGAGTAGTTGTCATAAGACAAGAAAAGTGTCAAAAGATATAAGACCGAATGAGATTTGCAGATGAAAAGCTGTAAGATATTTCCAGGTGAATTCTTAAGCCAGATGCTGAGCTGGCAATATAATAAGCTCAAGATGATTCATGAAATGAGGACTCCCCAGAGATTCTGTTTCAGTGGAGCAAGTTCTGGGTTCCCTGAGATACCCCAGTATACGAACCAAGGATAACAATCATCGTCAGAAGAGGCCTGGGCAGAGGGTTAAATTTTGAAGGGGACCATGATAAAGGCTTCAGGGGAGCATTTGAGCTGTGCCTAGAAGGATGAGTAAAAATTTGGATAGTTGATATCTATAAAGGACATTCTAGATATTTCAGATGGTGGGTAAAGCATAGGCTAGGGTGGGATGTAAGAAAGCATGACCCACATCAGTGGGAGCCTGAGATATAATGGGGAGGGGGTGGCTCAGTGGTAGAGTGCTTGCCTAGCTTGTATGAGGCCCTGGGTTTAATTCCCAGCTTTGAGAAAGAGAGAGAGAGAGAACAGTGGGTTAGGACCAGATCAAGGAGATGAAGAAGTTATCATCTTAATTGTTGACTAATTGTGAAAATTTTTTTTCAAAAACAGTGAAATTTTAGAAAGCAACTATATTTTAGAGACATCAGATCAATGAAGAGGTCTTTAGGTGAGGCTGAGTGGCCAGTTAGAAAATGATTACAAACATCTCAGTTGAAGACGACTATGGGACTAGGGAGTATCCACAGTCAGAGCTACCATTTATTATGCCTGAAGCTGGATAATTGTTTTGCTTTTTTCTTCCTCTTCTTTAACCCTTGAAAAAAAATCCTAGGAAATGAATAGGAGCAAATCCATGACACCTTTTTCCATAATCCCAAAATCTAATAAGCTCTGAAAACCACTAATTTGTCATAATGGTTGTGATATCAAAAGCCTAACTGAACCAATATGAGACAATTTATGGTCTTTATTTATCCTGAATTAGATGAAACATTACTGTGTTTTGCTGCAGAAATAGTCACAGGTTTGACTGCAGCGTGCTGCCTCAGACCACACTTGAGTGTCTGTATATAGAATTTGTTATACAAATTCTTTCTAAAACTGGAAATTTTCTGAATTCCAAAACATATCTGGCTCTGCTTTTCATATGAAGATTGTAGACCTAAGTTAGGGTTGTTTTGTTGATGTTAAAACTGGATCTTAGGGAATCCAAACAACTTTTCAAAGATGGAAGAAGAACTTAATCCTTATGAAGGGGAAGGAAGAGGTGGCTGGAAGGGGTTTGACAGGTGGGGGTGTTGACACAGTTTTCCTGTCGGTCACTGGGGAGATGATCAATTATAAAGCCAAAGTACTGTTAGGACTCTTGGATGAAAATTTTAATGGTTCTATGAATGATGATGGGTGGATGGATGGATGGATGGATGGATGGATGGATGGATGGATGGATGGAAAGATCTGCATGTCGAGAAGAGCACAGGCAGATAGAGACTAAAGAGTGGCAAAGTGGTATGATGTAAACTCCGAGAGCCCCTCTGCACCAGTATATCTGCTTTCCTTATTGCCCTGAAGGCAACTGAGTGTCTTCATTACTTCCTTGCGCGAAGGCTTCAAAGGCCCTAACCACAATGGCTTCTGGGAAGAATGACAACTTTCTTCTTTCTTTCCCTTTTGAGCTACCCTCTTGCTGTTCTGATCCGGTCACCTGGAATCACAATGGCCCTTCCCGCCTCCATGCCTTTACCTGTGCTGTTCCTTTAGCCTGATATGTCTTTGGCGCACCCTCTCTCCAATGAAACCCCATTCGCCATTCAATTCTACTTCCTCTGGAAAGGATTCCCTGGAAGAGCTTTGCCAGACTAACTCTGGATTCCACTGTGTATCTTTGGACACCCTATGCAGTACTATGTTTAGGTCACTCTTTACATACTGCCTTCACTAAAGGGGGATCAAATGTTTTGAATTGTTCTGTTTAGATTGTTCAGCTCTCAGCTGAAGACACCGTGAGGGAAAGACATAGTTTCCAAATTGAAAAAGATGAAATTTGATGGGAAAGCAGACCAGTGAATGGTTATGATAAGCTGGAGTGTGGTGAACACCAAGGCAGATCAGTAGCCCCAGACAAGTGCCCGAGGCATGTGGTCCAGACCTGGAGGAGGATAGGAGGTTGGGGAAATCAGTGCCTTGAATAAGACTTTAATGGTATTCCAGAAAGCCATTATAGGGATGATCAGTGGAACTAAATTTGAGGCCAATGAATTACTGGTTTTGCAGTACTAAGATAAGGTAAGTGGTAAGATAGGATCCAAGGGTAGGATATCTAAATTGACACTTTGAAGATGATCAATATCTCTGGAAATCAGTGACTGAGGCCGGATAGTAGGCGAGATTATCAGAAGTGACACCGGGATGTTGGAAGGATTATCGACATGGATTGGAGTTTGCTTATTGCCATGCGAGTAGTCAAGGAGGGTGAGGAGTGAGCCAGAGGCAAAAATTCCTCAATAAATAAAGGTAATGACCAGTGATATTTAAAAGTCCTCCAAAGGGAGCAGAGGGCTTAGTTTGGCATCCTCTTCACAGGAGATGGTATTTCTGAGGAAGAAGGAATGGTCTGGAAGCATCAGTGGGGAGCTGGGAAAACACTATCCCCCACCTGGCCCAGGAGGAGAAGAGCAGAGAAGGACGAAGGGATATGCATGAAAGCATCAAAGGAGCCCCTCTCCAGGGCAGGCACCAGTTTAAGTTAGAGAAGAAGGTGGAGGGCACAATCATAGACGAGATTGAACAGGTCAGCAATTTTGCTGACCCATGACCAAGTGGCAGAGACCAAGTTAACAGAGACAAAGTCAGAAGCAGAGAGCTCAGGGGAAGGAATGGGGAGGGAAGAATGAGAAGTGGGATATAGTAAAGGATGTTAAACCGGTCTGAGGGGGACAGAGCTCTGTGTTAACAGACTGGCCTGGCTTTTTGACAATGACCCCGACTTACTGTAATGCAAGCCGTGATGGCCTGATGTTTTAGGGGAGGTGGGTCATGGACTCGCTGGCTGTTGCCTACCATTTAGGATTGGGAGTGCAGGGGCTTCACTGATCATCCACAGGGTGCTGTGATGAGGGACAGCAGAGAACAGTTTTGATGAGTTGGAGTGGGATAAGCACAACAGAGGAGAGCAGTCTCATAGGTCAGACTCTGTGAACTGCCTTTGACATCCTCAGTGGGCAGTGTCCTGGCTGGGGAGTGAGAGATTTTACTGGTAGCTCCAGGAACTCTAGATATGACCACTTAGCACTTACCAGGGTCTGCACTCCTGCCTGAGGGTCAGCAGGAACAAGCACTGGTCCTTATATCTTTGTGATGGAAACTTCTAACCTTCCCATTCTGTGTCTCTGACCAGGGTAGGTGAGAGGAAATCAAACGGTGTTCTCTGCCCTGCTGTTCTTATGCCTGACCCTGCCCAGGGGGCTTAGGAATTAATCACTGGCACTAGGAAGACAGCTTCACCATTATCATAGCCCCTGGAATGGCAAAGGTTGAAGTGAAGCCCTTTTATTCATGAAGGTGTCTCAGATGCTATTTTTAAAAACGTCTACTCTCTTCCATCCCAGCTAGGATTTGATAGCTATTACTGCCTCCCTTCCTGGGCACATAATTCCTTGGCTTCTGCTGCCCCGTCTGTGTCTTGGATCTTGAGCTGGCATATTACTTAGGGTGAAAGTCTTTGCTCACCAGGAGAAGAGTGTTCAGACCCGTGATAAAGCCATGCTATCAACATTGCCTGTGTTTTTCCCCGTAGAGGACAATATTCAGAAAACTTGCAGAAATTCAAAACTAGTTAACGTTTCTTTTTAAATCAAAGTATGCATTGAAGTTGCATCCTCTCCTTTTGGAACTTATTTTACATATGTTTTTATGACAGCTTTCACATGCTGAGTTACTTCTGATCTATTGAGCACCTGTGGTTCTTTTCCATGTCATCTTGCTACAGGGAGTGATGTGTGCCATCATAGGTGTGAGTCTGAGAGCTGTGACACAGAAGGAGGATACCTCTCAGCCCTCCACATGAGGATGTGCTGAGGAGAGCATGGAGCAACCATTCATATCATACTTTATAAACCAAAGATAAGGACATATGGTTCATAACAGAATTTTTCTCATTTGCAAATTTATTTTGAAAGGGTATAACACTGAATTGTGTTTTATCATTTGTTTTTGCATTTGCATACCACCTTTTAAATTACATTGAATCAGAACTATCTTGAAAATCCAAGACTACATAGTCATAAAAGCCATGTAATTTATTACACATTTAAACCTTATGTCAATTATATCAGAAACAATGTTTTTTCCCATGTCAGTATAAATAACAAAAAAGTCTGAGAGAGTATTTAAAAGGAAATGCAGATTGGTTTCCTGGGATTTTAATTTGTTTGTTTTGATCAAGTGATTACTGCTTAATTCCTAAAGCAAATGTAACATATTCAAAATTGGTTATCTTTTATCTATGAAATTTCTATGATACAGCCAAAGAATTAAAAATTAGAGCTAAATTTATAAGTAAGGAATATAAGCAGAACAGCTAAAAGGAGCTCTGAAATCATACAGACTTGGATTCCAATTCCTATACCACTTTCTATGTAAACTAGGGCATGAGTTAACCTTTCTTTACCCCCAAGCTTACATGTAACATGAGGCAGTGATGGTGCCTGTTTTATAGGGTTGCTGCAGAGATTACTTAAGATAACGTATATATAT